TATATACCTAGCGATAGAACATGACTTAATAGCCAATAGGAAGGAACCATAACTGAATATGGTGCAGCAGGAGCTGAATTATGTCCAACAGAGGCATGATACTGGAAGCTATAAAAACCCTGGTCCTAGTAAACCACAACCGCGAGGACGGAAGTCACAGCAGTTCAAGAGAAAGAAAGTACCCCGCGGAGCCTGTTACAATTGTGGAAAGTTCGGGCATTTCAAGCCCAATTGCCCACAAGGTGAAAAGCAGGAGAATAAGGGAGGCTATAAGCATCTAAAACAAGGGGGTACTAACAAAAGAGAATTCATCGGTGTGACGGAATGTAATGTTATGATGACAAATATCAGTGGTTGATGGATCGACTCCGGTGCAACTAGGCATATCGCAAAGGACAAGAAAGGAGTCATAGAATTCACCGAGCTTAAGAAAGGAGAACAGAGAATCTATATGGGAAATAATACCTATATCGATGTAGAATGTATTGGTTCGTATAGATTGGATCATGGGGACAGTATTCTTGTCCTCAAAGATGTGTTCTATGCGCCAGGAATTCGGCGCAATCTGATCTCTGTTCCCAGCTTGATGAAGAAAGGACTGGAAGTTAGGTTCTATAATAACAGGGTTTCTATAGGCAAGAATAATAAAGTGTATGCTATGGGAAAATATGTGCCCGAGCATGAATTATGCATTCTTCCAGTAGTTTGTAATAATTTTGATAATAAAATTTTGAATTTGAACTACTTGTCCTGTTATATTTCTGAGTCTGAATTGTGGCATTCTAGATTAGGACATGCTAGTAATTTGAACTACTTGTCCTGTTATATTTCTGAGTCTGAATTGTGGCATTCTAGATTAGGACATGCTAGTATTTCAAAAATAAAAAAAATTATCAGAATGAACTTGCTTCCTGCACTAACTAATGTTCAATTGCCACCATGTGAACATTGTTTAACTGGTAAAATGACTAGAAAACCTTTTATTGGCGGACACAGAGCCAATGAACTTTTAGGATTGATACACTCGGATATTTGTGGTCCCCTAAGTGTCAAAACTCATAGTAATAAAGAATATTTTATTACTTTTATAGATAATTATTCCAATTTTGCACATGTCTATCTTATATCCAGAAAATTAGAAGCTTTTGACTGCTTTAAGAGATATAAGACAGAAGTTAAAAACCAACTTAGATTGAAAATCAAAATTTTGAGAACTGATAGAGGTAGGGAATATAACTCTAAAGAATTTGAGAGTTATTGTATTCAGTATGGAATTAAAAGACATACATCAATACCGTATACGCCATAGCAGAATGGTGTTGCTGAAAGAAAAAACAGAACATTACATAATGTAGTTAGATGCATGTTGTATCATTCTGGTCTCTCTAAAAAACTTTTGGGGAGAAGCATTGTTAACTGCAAACTATATTTTAAATAGAATTCCCACCAAATCAGTTGTATCTACACCTTATGAATTATGGAATGGGAGGAAACCTAATTTGAGTCATCTCAGGAAGTGGGGATCTGTAGCCCATGTTCTCATTCCATGTCAACTTAGAGATATGTTGGATTTTAAAATAATAAAGTGTAGATTCATAGGATATTTAGAAAAGTCAAAAGGTTATAAGTTCTACAATAAAGAAACAAGAGTCATTAAAAGCAGAGATGCTACATTTCTAGAGAATCTAGAGGAAGAGGAACAAGTTCAAGAGGAAACAGAACCTCTAACTGTAATAGATGATAATTATTACAGTGTTGTTCCCACTAATGACCCTGATATTGTGAATGAACCTAACCTTAAAAACGATGAAATACCTATGGAAAATAATATACCTAATCAACCGGTTGTAGGCAATAAAAGGCTAAGAACACAACATTCATGGATGAATGATTACTATTTGTATTCATGTGAGCCATCATGTTTCTCGGTAGATACAAATGTAGAAGAACAAGATCCCTTAACCTTTTCTGATGCGATGAAATCACATTATCAACTTTATGGCTAGAATCTATGAGAGAAGAACTTGATTCCATAGAAAAGAATAAGGTATGGGAGTTATGTGATCTACCAGAAAATAGAAAAGCCATAGGATGCAAATGGGTGCTCAAAAAGAAATATCGTGTTGATGGATCTATTGACAAATTCAAAGCATAGTTAGTTGCCAAGGGTTATAATCAGAAGGCAAGAATAGAATTTCAGGAGACGTATTCTCCTGTAGCTAAATTTGCATCCATTAGAATTATTTTGGCTATTGTTGCATATCTTGATTTGGAGTTATTCCAAATGGATGTTAAAACTGTATTCCTTAACGGAGAGTTGAAGGAAATAATATATATGCAACAACCTGAAGGTTTTCAGGTGAAAGAACATGAACATAAAGTTTACAAATTAATGAAATCTCTATATGCTTTAAAACAGTCTTCTAGACGATGGTATCTCAAATTTCATGATGCACTTACTAAACTTGGTTTTATTCAAAATAAATTAGATAATTCTATATATGTCTTAAAAAGTGGGAGCAAGTTTACTATATTATCCTTATATGTGGATGATATATTGCTCGCCGGAAATGACATAGAAATGTTGAATAAAACCAAGGTAGATCTCAGCAAAAAGTTTGAGATGAAAGACATGGGAGATGCATCATATATTCTTGGAATTCAAATAATTCGAGATAGAAAGTCTAGAATGTTAAGTTTAAACCAAGAAAAATATTTAAGATCAGTTCTTAAAAGGTTTGGAATGGAGAATTCTAATCCGGCACCAACTCCGTTGGTTATGGAAAAGAGATTATGTAAAGAGCAAAGCTCTGGAGAGGGGCAGAAGCTATTAGATGTTCCTTATGCTTAAGCAATTGGAAGCTTGATGTATGCAATGTTGTGCACCAGACCTGATATAGCTTATGCTGTGAGTCTAGTCAGTCGATATTAAAATAATCCAGGACCAGCACATTGGGAAGCTGTTAAAAGGATTATGAAGTATATCAGAGGTATATTGACTCATAGGTTAGTTTATCAAGCTAATTCGCTTGAACTCCTCGGTTATTCCGATGCTGATTTCGGAGGTGATAAAGATGATGGAAAGTCCACTTCGGGACACGTATTCATCTTTGGAGGAGGAGCTATTTCTTAGAGTAGCAAGAAATAAGGGTGTGTTGCTAGATATACGCAAGAAGCTGAATATATAGCTTGCAGTATGGCAACTACACATGCTGTCTGGATAAGACGATTTTTGATTGATCTTAATCTTAATTTGTTGGATGGACCTATTGATATTTATTGTGATAATCAAACAACAATTAGCTTAATCAATAGTGGTACGAAATAGCTCCAAAGGAAAACATATTGAGATCCAGTATCACTATATTCGAGATATTGTAGAAAATGGAAAAGTCAAAGTGACTTATATCCCTACTACAGATATGATTGCTGATCCTTTGACAAAAGAAATACCAGCGGAATCTTTTATCAAACATGTAAGTTTGATGGGACTTAGGAATTGATCCTTTGACAAAAGAAATACCAGCGGAATCTTTTATCAAACATGTAAGTTTGATGGGACTTAGGAATAAATAAGTCCAAGTAAAATTTTATCAAACATGTAAGTTTGATGGGACTTAGGAATAAATAAGTCCAAGTAAAATTTTATGAATAATGGAATAAAAGTTACTCTCTACGGATAGTGAGAGTAATGGTAAGCAGAAACATCCGATCTCACGTATAGTGGGAGGCATGTCACTTGGTTAATTTGGTCAAGTGGGAGATGTTAGCTTGACTTGGTCATTGATGACCAAATCAACCACTGTTTCTCTGTTGAGAGAATGGTGGAGAACGTGAATCATGGGTGGTTGAGAGAAAATCTCTCATGGGGACAGATCTGAGGGGTAGAGATATAAGGAGGACCATTCTCCTTGAGAAGATATAACGAAAATCAAAAGAAAACCCTCTTACCCATTACCGAAGCCCCTCAGAAATATTAGTTCTTCTTTCTCTTCTCTTCTCAGAGTACGATCACACCCCCCTTAATCCAACTCTAAATTTTTAGGTGATTGACAAACACACCCTAGGACTAGTTTTTATCCAAGTCATTGACTTGAAATTACCGTGTGCTAAGATTAATTAGAATCCCATTTGACTACGCTGCGAAAAGGATGTAGATTAAGGTCCTATGATAACAAAGTAATTAAGAAGCATTTCAAATTTGGCGTTTTCCCACATCTCAGATCCTGTTACTGAAAAACAAAACAGTCCAAACCTTCAAAGTCAGATCATTGGGAACTCTACACCAAAACAAGGTAACGCGCCAACAGCCCAAACGAAAGGCACAGCCCAGTTTGTTGCGACTTGGGGCCCACAAAAATAATCCAAAATACTAATGTAACTCCTAAACCCCTGTAAACAGATAAAAGAAATTTCGATGTTAGTCCCTCACCTCTTTCATAATTTGATATTATTGCCCAAAGTCTTCAGATTTTGAAATTTTCCTAAGCTTTTTATATTTTGATATTACCCCCTCAAATCCTGAGTGTTTTGAAATTCCGTTTTCCTAAATCTTTCAGCTATGTGCTAATTAGAGGGACAAATTTCTATAAACATATAAGATTTGGAGGACCAGTTTCAAAATATGAATATTTTGTGGACTAATGATAAAACACTTAAAGTTGTGGGGGACCACGTACCAAATATGAAGGCGTAGAAGATTGATATCAAAATATTAAAGATTTTGGGGATTAATATCAGAAGAACCCAATAAAAAAAATACTTCTTTTAAGTCGAAAAAAAGTTCAAAAAAATGACGGAGGTTTTCAATGTTTCCATTTTCCGTTTCAATCTCTCCGGAACAAAGGGCGAGTCCAATGGACAAGATCTGGTTAAAAAAAATAAAATCATAATAAAATTTAATTTAATTAGTTTTTTTATATAGAAAAGAAAAGAAAAGAAAAGAAAATTAATTAATCAAATTTTAATCCCTATTCTTTCCCCCTTATAACCGTACTCTTCCCCTCTTAACTCCCGCTCCCCATGCACCACCGCACCCTATCCCTAACCTCCCAAAAATAAAAAAAAAAAATAAAAAAAAGAAAAACCCTAACCTGGAATTTTCATTTTGCTATTGAAAAATTTCGATCTTTTGGGGGTAATGGCGGTGAATGGGAGCGTTCCAATATCGGTTCCGGCGCTTTACGTCGGCGATCTTCATCCAGATGTGACGGATGGAACCCTCTTCGAGCATTTTTCTTCAGTCGGCGGCGTTACCTCCGTTAGGATTTGCAGGGATTCCGTCACTGGAAGATCTCTTGGTTACGGTTACATCAATTATGCGAATGCTCAAGATGGTAATCTTTTTGAACTTTTTTTTTGTAGTTTTTTTTTTTGTTTTCTTTTTGGGAGGTTGTTGATAGGCGAAAAGTTGTATCTTGAATCGTCTTGTTCTACTTTTAGAATTAAAAAGTTATTTTTTTAAAATTTTGTTGGGGATTTGGCGGCCCATTACTTGGATTTGATAGAAATTTTCGTTCTTTTTAATTTTTTATTCTGCATTGGTTAATATATGGTTCAAGATGGTAACCATTACTTGGATTGTTGACAGATGGAAAAAGGCGTTACTTTGGATCGCTTTGTTATTATGTGTTTAGTTTTGGGATTGAGAAGTTGAATTTTTTAGTTTAATTCTGGGCTTTTGGGTCCCATCGCTCGGCTTTTGATAATAACGTTCATCTATTTAGATTAGTTTTCTGATTATTGATCTGTGTTAATGTTATCTGTTCTAAACACATAATAATTTGATGATAGTTTTCATTATTATTTTAGATTAATTTTGATGATAGTTTTCATTATTATTTTAGATTAATTTGTTGTTTTCGGTCCTTTTTCACAGGATTCTGTTCTATGAACTGAGTGTTAGGTGTTTATATAGTTTCCGATTTACCCCTAAACTTAGATATTTATTCTTGGGTCTGTGTGTGAATACTTTTACTGTTGTTTTTTTCAAGGAAACCATCGCTTAATTATTATTGATTTAAGTCTCTCCTTTTTGTACTTTTGTGTAGCCTGCGTTGCTCTTGAAAAGCTGAATCATAGTCTCTTGCTTGGGAAACCCATAAGAATAATGTGGTCGCATCGGGACCCAGATGCAAGGAACAGTGGGATTGGAAACCTTTTTGTGAAGGTAAACTCCCGAAAATGGATGGTTGATGCTAATAATTCCTCTTCTATTGAAATAGTTGGTTCAACAGCGGATTTGGTCGTTTCTTTATGTTGCTTGCAGAATCTAAGCGACTCCATCGATAGCCTTAAGCTTCGCGAGATCTTCTCGAAATATGGGACAATCGCTTCCTGCAAGGTTGTAGTTCAAGATGGAAAGAGCAAAGGGCATGGATTCATACAGTATGACTCTCAGGAATCGGCGAATTCTGCCATTGAGAAGCTCAATGGCGTCAAGATTGGAGGCAAAGCAATGTATATGGCAATCCTCGTCCGCTGTCATTATTTGTTCATTATAATTGTTAAATATATATCTTAAATGAAACAAAATTTTCTACTATTATCAGTTCTATGATCATTTACTATTTCTATTAATTGGTTCTTGTGGAATGCAGGTATGTCGGTCACTTTATAAAAAGGAGTGAGAGGGTAACACAGATCCCGGAAGCTAAATACACTAACCTCTACATGAAGAACCTGGATCAGGATATAACAGAAGACCTTATTCAGCTCAAGTTCTCTGAGTTTGGTAAAATTGTCAGTGTGAAAATTGCAAAGGATGCTGATGGGAACTCAAAGGGGTTTGGGTTTGTCAATTTTGAGAATCCTGATAGTGCCAAAAGGGCAACAGAGGCAATGAATGGTCTTCTACTTGGTAAGTTGGATTAATTCAGAGAGGATCTTAATTGAATGCATAATGCTGTCTCCAACCTTTTTATGACTAACATCCATATTCATTGCAAATTGTGATGACTAGGGTCCAAGGCGCTATACGTGGCAAGGGCTCAGAAGAAAGCAGAGAGACAACAAATTCTGCGGCGTCAATACGAGGAGAAAAGGAATGAGCAAATTTTGAAAAATATGGTACCTTTTCTTTAACTTTTATTAACATCGTGTAATGTAGAATGTGAGTAGCGTACATTACAGCTTAATTAATCTGTGCCATCCTTGCTCAGGCATCAAATGTTTATGTTAAGAACATTGATGACGAGGTCGATGATGATGTTCTGAGGGATTATTTCAGTCAGTGTGGCAATATATCCTCTGCAAGAATCATGCGCGATGAGAAAGGAATAAGTAAAGGATTTGGATTTGTATGCTTTAACACTCCAGACGAAGCTAACAGGGCCGTGCAAACTTTGCATGGTATTTTAAACTACATTCGCCAGGTCATACTATGATGTTCTGTCTCCATACATGTAATCATTGCGCTATGATTGTCATCATGCAGGACATATGTTTCATGGGAAGCCTTTATATGTTGCAATTGCTCAGAGGAAAGAGGACAGGCAAGCTCAGTTGCAGATACAATATGCTCAGCGGATTACACTCCTACCGGTCTTGTTCCTCAGATACCCAGGCAGGGGCTTATGTATCAGCCCTACGGATTGAGACCGGGGTGGAGGCCAAGTGGATTCATCCCACAAGCAAGGCCAGCATTTCAACCAATGCCACTTCCGATGGTGAGTACAATCCGTCTCTTTCTGTAGTGTGATTTCACAATTCCCCCACAACTTCGGGGTGTTTCCAACGAGAGTAAGGGAAAAAAAAACACCCCATCACAAACACACACGGGGCAAGCAACCCTCAGACAAAACCCTCCAGATAGCATCTCTTGCAACAATTGGAAGGCCTTATTATTTGCTCCGTTCTCTTCTTTCTTGTTTTCTCTGGAGCTCATCTTCTCCTCTTTTCCTTGCTTTTTGGGCGTTGTTTGTGGGAAAAGTTAAAAAGTTTTGGTGGGTTATTTGAGATTCTTTGGAGCTTTGAGGGTTTAGTGGGGGAAACAAAGTCCATGGGGGATTTGTGAGAAATGCCCCAAAGTATTATGGGGGTTCTGTGAAATGCACCTGGTTTTGTATTTATTTGAGAAATTGTTTTATGCTTGTTTCTTTTTTCCATTTTGTATTAGCTGCTAATTGGTAGACTTGTCGTTCTGTGCTTTCAGCTTCCTAGTGCCCCAAGGCAACAAAGGCAGAATAGGGGAAGGATGAATGGCCATATGGTTCCTCAGCCAGCACAGTCTATTCCCTTCATGCCGCATTTGCAACAGCCTAATCATTATTTGAACACATACAAAGATTCTAACGGTCACCAGGTAGGTTATCTTATTTTATTTGCCTGTCTTAGATTACACTATTTGTTGCTTAGCATATGTGAACTCCTCCATAGCCGTCTTACAAATGGTAAATTATTTTCATTTAACTTTGTCCTAAGGGGACCCTCCCAAACACTTCTGATCTTAGGGCTGTGTGGTTGTTTAAACTCTTGTTCTGGATGTGATATGAATAATAAGATGGTATCTGGGTGCTTTGGAAACCTTAGTGTGTTTTCTGTTGTTCTTCGATAGTCCCTCTAGAACGTAGTTGCTTGTTAATTTAAAAAAAAATAAAAAAAAAGCAAAAGAGTTTGGCCACAATATGCAGAGCTATCCTGAGGCAAAAAATTGGTATTCAGCGCTGCTTGTCAATGAGCGTGTCAGCGGTCCTCTCATGCAGTTTGCTAATATACTACTATAAACACGTGCAGGTTGTTTAGTGCGATCATCACTTTAAGGAAGTTTAATTTGTTAAGCTGTTTTGGAATGCTCTACTCTAGTGCTATGATGTTTATGATGCTAAATCTGTTGATTGTTAAACTGTATTCTCTTACTAGTGCAAAGTATTTCCAGTCAGTTTTACAGTTTCACTTAATTAAATTGTATCCTACTAGCTGTGCTTATACATTATGCTAATGCAGCAATATTGCTATAAGTGCTCTCAGTTACTTATGGGCTCATTCAGAACATTGTAAGTTTGTAACACATAATTTGCCCTTTTGGAAAGTGACTAGGTTTTTTAACACTAATCCTTTACCCTCTGTTAAAAGTGCATTGTTTTTAAATTTGAAGTGCCTATTTAGGAATTGCCTAACTGGAATATTCATTATTTGTTTTTTGGTATTTCCTGGTTATCATGCGTACAGGCGATCTCTCTCTAATAAATGCATATACTCCTCATAGGAATTATTAGTTATATAAAAAAAGAAAAGATGACATAATACGTGGAAAAAATAGTCATATTGTTCGAATCATAAAACTTCTTGTCAGATTCAATAGACTTCAATAATGAAAGAACAAAACTTTATTACTTAAGTCAGTCTTAAGCTTATACCCCACTAGTTTCTTGAAAAAAATCAGACCTTCTTTTGGCAATTCTAAATACGTTAAGGAGCAAATGAACTACACTCAGCAAGTGCTTTAGTTGAGTGGTTGCAAGCATGTGTGTATTTGCATCAATATGCAGCCAGCCATGCTTTTGAAGTAGAATTTTTGTCATTCTTCTTCTTTTTATCTCTCTAAGAATAGGCTTTAGCCTATAGCAAGCAAGTGGGTATGAATCCGAACTTCTTGTACATTGCAAAAGAGGTTATACCACTGCGTTAAAGTGACACTTGCAAGGCCAGTAGATTCCGGACATCTGGAGACCTGTATTTAGATCATGTATTTACAATGTAATAATATGTACAACGAGGAATTATAGAAGACATCAGTCGATGTTGCCTTGATCTATAGATTGAACATTTTGTTGTCTAAAATAGCAAAGGTTTAAGTGATTCAAGGAGATAGGTAATCCATTTGGTTGCAGTGTCTGTTATTTTTGTGATAGGCAAAGGCAATTCAGCTTGTGCTCGTATCTGTTCCTCATACTGCAACATATCCTTGGACTGGGAACAAGAATCAATGGGCATTTCATGAACAGATGGGACATTCATGTTCCCCAGTCATAGTAAATATATGCAAGGAATTGATATGGAGATTAAAAAAAAACTTAATAAGCATGTATCCTGGGGAACTTGGTGGGTGTTAAATTCATCTCTCAAGGGTATTATGGTTATTAATTATTCAGAGACATTTAATCAATAAAATGTAGAAAATAATGATATATTCCACCAAAATATTTAAATTTCGTATATGATTACATTTTATTGATGAAATTTCCTTGAACAACTAATAATCATAGTATCCTTGAGAGATGGATTAACATCCACCAAATATTTAAATATTTAAAATTGACTTGGTAAATAGTATTGGTATTAGAATTCAACACAGCAGAAATATTACATGCTGTTAATGTTGTCCCCATGTTATCATATTCGAAATTAATTATATATAGGAAATTTGTGGTATGTATAAAATGTAACTGTATATGTGTAATAATAAAAAACAGGCTTTTGGAGAAGAGCTGAAGATGAGGTGGAATGCTATGGAAATATATGTATGAATGTATAATTTTATGAATAACCATATATGTATTATTATATGGTATTAAATAATCAAACAAATTAAACATGTGAATGGTCACGTTCGGGTAAGTAAGTAAATGCTAGTAAAACATATATTTAATGTTGGTTAAGTGCGCGAACTTGAACACTTAATCAGATGAATGAATGGAGAAATATGTAGGAATAAATTTGTCTATTTTCCTTCTCTAGCTGGGATCATTAACTGATTTAGAGCTTGAGACGATTGCTAGTAATGTGCACACTTGTGTAGGTTGGCAAATATACTTATAGCCACCTCTCCAAAAAGTAGATACTTGCATGAAATCCAAATGGAGAGGTTTTTTTTAATAAGAGTTGTTCGTATCACTTTAGAAATGTAGGGCCTATAATAGAGATAAGACATATCTATGAGGGATATGAATAGAACATGCCTTTTTTATATGTTTTTATGTATATATTTGTATTATTTATTTATAAATTTTATATCTATATTAATGAAAGTAACTTTTAATTAAAATTTATTATATATGCTGCATTTCGAAATTATTTCTTTTATAAAATGCTAACTAATTCCCCTAGCAACATCTTTGGATAAACACAGTTCAAAGGATGCTTATCGTAAATTCCATATATCCTAAGAAACACTTCGGTCATAAACACCATACTTTCTTATCTTGTATGTGCATGTATATAATGCAGCTTACTTGTTTCAAGAAAAACAACTTACAGCTCATTCCCCACCTACCAATTTACATTTTGCGGCTCACAGTAGATGATCAATACCACCACACCACCATCTTCATCTGCACATTGTGAAATATGCACACGGATAAAAGAATGTTTCTGAGAACTACTAGCCATGCTTCAAGTCAAGTAGTCCCTTTTGCTTTTCACTAAGGGCTGTTTTGTATTCTGCTATCAATGCTGCAAATGTTGCCTTCAAAACTGCCTGTAACAACATTTGTTGCAGGATATAAAGAAATATATCTTGACCAATCTTCCGATTGTTCAATTTGGACCTATTTGGCAAAACCATCTAAATGACGTATTATTAGCTCTGAAGTATGCTGTGCAGTATACTCAGAATCTATTTTCTCATAGTGCTTAAGGAATGCTAATGCACTGAAGTCTTTCAGACTGTTTCACAAGGTGAAACTTTCTTTCATTTTTAAATGGGCTTGACAGGAACTGAACTAGAATTAAGACCCTCTATCGCCATTTTGCTTGCCCTTTTTCTCTATCCCAGAAACATTTAAGATTTCATTTATCCACTTTTCATATTAACTTGAAAGAAAAATTCAACAGTAACCTACCGGACAAATTCTTTACTGATTGCCACCATCTTCCTTTTTGTTACAATACATGAATACTTGGTGGTAACTGAAAGAGAATTCAGAAACAACAGTGGAAATAAATCTTGTGATGACAAACTGAAAGAGTACAGGGGCAATGTCCTCTTTCTTGGACAACCGATGGTGAACTCAATTTTGCAGAAGCCAAGCAGACTTATTTTCCATATACTAGATGAACTTATTTTTTAAAAAATTTGGAGATTTTTGAATAGGATAGTCATAGATGAAGTTTTTGTTCTTCTTAATTCAATAATCTTTCATTTAAAATTAATCTATTAATTTGTAAATAAATATAATTTTTTGAACATATATATTTCAAAATCTATTGGATGTTACGACTTTAAATTCAAGAAGTCAAAGATTCATGCGACTTCTGTTTCGTGGTATGTGGTTTAGACATTGCCAGCCTAGAAGTTCCATGTGGCTCTACCTTTTGTGACGAAACCACCTAGTGTGATGAAATAGTTGCCCCTTTTCATCAAGGGAGAAACACAAAAGTGATAGGACTTCCAAAATCATGAAAATATTCAATTTGAAAATATGGAAACAAATATATGCTTGGCTTTATACAAGAAAATAGAGCAGTAAAAAGAGCAGCTTTCCTCACCAAGAAAATTACGCAACTCATTTCCAAATAGAATAACATTTAAATATGTATAGTTTGCCATAACCGGGGACCTTAAAATTTCTTCCATCTTTTCAAGTCACCTCTTCCATCAAATTGACACATGTTTGCTTAACATTCTCTTCATTTTTGTTTCATAAATAAGTTTTCCTTTAATAAATATTTACTTTTGTTTGCTTAGATTTTGCTTATATTTACTTTATTTTATTTTCATAGATAACTTTCCTTTCCACAAATAATATTTTTTTCCTTTTCCATATACTTCCAATCTACAGTAACAAAGGCAATGTTGAAAACACGGGTACTTAGTGCTCTAGGCTGTTTCCTGGAGACTTGAAGAATTATGATGTATATTTGCTGACAAGAACCGAACCTTAAGTACCCTTGAAAACAGGAGCCTTGTGAGTAGCCTCGAGGATGCTCAATTTTGAGAGTTTAAATGCTTGCTTTTGGTAAACTGTGGTCCCTGACTACAATCGTTTTGGTGTGTGCCTTCTTCAATGTACCCAATGAAGATTTCCCTTTATGGCCTGCCATCTAGAATAGCTACCGGAACCACCGAGTATATGTTTTCATGAGCATCCTTTGACGTTCATGTACTGGAACCACGAGGTTTGAAGTACCAACTCAGGAAAACCAATTCATCAGTTTGTCCTTTTCGCTTAACATGAGTAAATATACACACATTTGCGAATAGAAGGGCATTTCTAACAGATTTAATATCCTTGTGAAATACTAAGGAATGGATGCTCATATCTTTGCACAGCAATTTTAATCCAACATCATGTTTTATCAATTCTTTCAATGCCGTGATTCAATTTACCTGTGTGTTTAGCAGAGATCTGGACAGAACAAGTATGTTCCAAATGGGCTCCAGACCATTAATAATGGATCAATGCCATCAAACTCTCAAGGTGGCACCGAGATGCTCAGCAGCATGCTGGCAGCTGCTGCTCCCCAACAGCAGAAGCAGATGCTTGGCGAACGTCTCTTCCCCTTAGTGCAGAATCTGAAGGTATCCCAATCATTAATGTCAGTCGTAAATTTTATGGTAACTTCCATGAAAACCCCTGAACTTTGGGGATGTTTTGCACAAAACCCTTCTTAAGTTTTATAAATCATAGAAACTCCTCTAAAGTACCATGACTGACAGTTACACGTGATGTCGGACAATGACACCCCTATAATTTCTATATTAACCTTTTTGGGTAAGTTTTCAGTAAAAAGTAGGATAGTTTAGACTTCTTCTTTACCCATTTAACGTTGTGAGAATTTTCAAAAGTTTATGGGGTTGGTTTAATTTTCGGAAGTTTTTGCGTGTATATGGTGAGGATTTTTTTTGGGTTTGTGGGGTTTTTTTTTGGTTGGGGGGGGGGGTGGGGGTGGGGGGGGGGTTGATTTATTTGTCAAATTTATCCTGAATATTTTTTCTTATGCAATGCTTCTTGCTTTACATTTTTTTTCTTTTGTCGGTGAGTCCTGAAGTGTGATATAATATACTTTTGTTGCAGCCTGATCTTGCTGCTAAAATTACCGGAATGCTATTGGAGATGGACAACTCTGAATTGCTCTTGCTGTTGGAATCACCCGAGTCATTGGCTGCGAAGGTTGATGAAGCCATTCATGTGCTTGAAATCTCAAAAACCAAAGCAAGTGGCGGTGGTCAAGAGGCTCTCCATCCCAACAATTTCTTTTCAGCAGAGGTTGCTGTCAATTGAAGTGCCATCTTTTCTGAAAGTAAACATTCTTTTAGTTCTGAGTAGTCTGCATTAGGACATGAATTTTAGTCGTGAGAGTTTTCTAGCCTTCTCATATATAGTATTTTCGACTACTAGGTGCTTTGCCTGAACGAGGATGGAACCCTTTCTCGAACAGTAGATGAAATTAAGAGTTTAGGAATACTTCTTTCTTTAGCGTCATTTACTGTTGTCAATTTATCTCGGTTTGTTAATGTGACATAATCTGATACTTGCTTGGGCCAGATTCATGTATGGCTTACAAACCTTCAAAGGTTTGATCACGAGCTTCCCATGGCGCTTGAGATTATAGGAGATTTACTGAGATCCTCTCCAGTAGTTTCCTGTTGGAAGTTATCTACGCCTCCCGACTTGTTTTATGAATTTGCATTACCCCTCTTTTTCTGTAAATAAGCATTCTCTGCTGAGCAGGATGAAGATGCTTTATCCACAGGGTTCACTTCACTTTTAGCCACCTTGTTGCTGTCCATACAAAACATGGCGGCATCTATAGAATTGGAGAAAAAAGCCGTTAGTTAGTTACGGATGCAACGTACAAAGAATTTAGCATGCCAAAGGCTGATAGGAGATAGCTGACACATAATGGGCGAGAAGCTAGCATGAGCATGAACGTCGTAGTTTCTAGCGGGGAGAGCACAGATTTCTTAGGCGAATCGTGCCTTTACTGGGTCATTCAAAACATTTTTGAATTTAACGGACAAGTCTGGTTCTTGAACGAGGAACTTCTCGAACGGTCTAGGTTCTTGAACAAAGGATTTTCTCGAACTATGGTACCCGATTCAGGATCCAGTCAACTGTCAACAAACCGTTGCCCCCAGTGAGCTTGAGGCTGAGGGGCACAGCAATCTCGTAATGATGCCCCATTGAAAGAATTGCAGGGGAGCAGTAGTTTCTGTACTCCATGATAATCAGGCGACCGATATTTAGCAAATAACTTGCTATTTAATGAGAGGTCGACAATTGTTTGAGGCTTAATATCGGAACGAGTTGTTAAGCCATATTATCTCAGTGACGGAAGTTCGATCTTTAAAGAATATCACATTCGATCTTTAAAGAATATCACATGGTTCTTTAAAAAGAAAAGAAAATGAAGGAAAGCTAGTCCGAAAGACATGCGCATTTATGTGTGTCTACATTTACTATTGCATCAAATTATCAGTTCAAACCGTACAGACTAATTAAGGAGATACTTTCCAAATATTAGATTGTCTAAGATGCATTTTTTTTTCTATTTTAGTGCAAATTTATATAAAACAGCATCCTTTTTTTTGCCCCCCTGAGATGATGGTTTGCGCTTATTTATTTCATGCTTAGTTTTGATCATTGCACATTTATCTTTGACTTCTAACAAATATCTTTTACATGATCCCATTTTGGTTATTCTGATACATTTTACCATTCAGAATACAGTTAACGTATCAATATATTTTGTAAAAAATATAGGATAAATGCATGAAATGTGGGGTAGCATATAATAAAGTAAACCTGCGTAATTCTCATCCTAATGCTGACAAAAAAATCAAGCTGTCGTTCTTTAAGCCGAAGAGTTTTATCCTTCACATTTAAAAAAAAAATATTTTTATATATATTTTAAGTTTATTTTTTACTTGAGGGTGGATTGCTATGTGTAAGATATTTTGGGCATATACATTTTGATTTTAATCGTCCTGTATCTATGGTTAGAGTAACAAGGCTCAAATTATGCACCGTGATAGGTATCATATTAGCCCCTACATAATTGGGCTTAAACAACTAACGCATTAGCCCAGCAAAAAATTCGTCAAATACACGTATAGACATTTGGCAAACCGAAAAAAAAATACTAGCGCATCAGCATCAGTTCGAGCGCATGCAGAAATTCCAATAATGAGAAATACAAAAATTGAAAAGAATAATTATGCATGAACGTATTATTCCCAATCAAAAATTGATATACATGTACAGTGAGATCTCTAAATCAAGGTAAATACCACTAGATACTAAAAAAATACATCAATAAAGAATGGATCACAACAATCCAATTATGTGTATATATGTACTTTAGATGAGCTATAACCGGCTGATGAGAGAGAGAAAACCATGTACTAGGAGAACCGCGAGGCTCAATGGCAATAGAGCATAACCTACATTGCGTGACGAGCTGCTGGCGTCGACTTGCCTAGTATTGACGTACTCACTGTTGTTAGCAGATGACGAAACATTTACGGATAAAGAGCCTGAATACCAAAAGAAAAAACCAATGAGATATTCGCAAAAATGGAAAGCTAAAAAAAAAAATTTGTATAGTAAACTTACAGTCATAATTTCTCCAGCCTATGCGCTGATTAGCCAAATCGTAAACAAAAATCTTGTCTTTAAGAACAAGGTCTGCAATAGGGGGTGTAAAAATTAACAAATTAGAGCAATAAGGTTCAAGTTCTATTGTCAATATATGAAACATGGTACAAAGTAAAACATGGCTGACAAAGATAAACATCCAGAGCATCGAAACTAGAATATCTCAGTTATATTCATATAAACATTAGGAATAATGTGCAAGATTTCTCTTGGTATTTAAATAAGGCAGAAGTTACAGATTATGGCCATCAAACAATGGTAGATCTTAAAGCAAAACTTCCATATCCCATAAGTTCTACTTAACTACATTTCATTGAGAAGTATGATACCAGGGCTTAAAGCAAAACTTCCATCTCTCGTCAATTAAAGGTTAACATAAATGGATAAACTTCACTTCTGACATTTTAGTTCTTTTGGAAAACTCTTCTAGTGTATTATGACCCACGATAAATTTTTGCACTAAAAAAAGCCGAGCAAATACTCATCTTAAATGCATCTTCATAGTACTAGATAGAACTCATACCAGGTTATAATAAGCTGTAATATCTCTACTCAAACTGAAGGCAAAAGTAACAATTCAAAATATTTTGTATAGCAAACAATTTGTCAAGATTAATTACAAACTTGAAAGCAAAAAAAAGGAGCCAACGGAGGTAATGTTACACAATTACCCTAGGTAGAATAGATGGAGGGAATTGATCCTACTTGGATCTATAGTTTTGATTAAAGGTAATGTTCTTAGGCGGCATTGAGCTTAAACTACAATACCGATGAGGTAAAATTTCCTATTGATCGAGTTTCTGAGTTTCATAAGATAAAGAATTTGGCATACTTGGATGGACAATGATGATGAATACAACTTGAGAGGATATTAACGTTATTAAGTTTTGTGTATGGTCGAGAGAGATTAATCTGCATCTTTAGCTAGCTACTTAAATGATTTAAAAGTAGGATTTAACACAAAGTGCATTGTCAATTATTAGTTCCTTATTGATGAGCTCCCAGAGTGTATCATTATCATCCTCCAGAACTTAATTGTAAATTAATCTTCATATAAATCAGGAAATCTTAGAATGCGAAATAATTAAATAACCACAATATTAGGAAAAAGTGTCTTAGTATGCAAACCTCCTAGGATCGTTGTTCCACCTTGGTTCTTTTGCCAGCCCATACACCATATGTTAGCATTAGCCTGAAAATTGAAATCAAACACTTCATTAACTAATTAAAACATATATTATTATCTTTTATGTAGTTGACAAATATGGTATTTTTTAAAAGGCAATGTACATATAGATCAACTTACAACAGAACCCTGTTCTAGAAGATAATCTCTAGGATTCAAGTTCATTGCGGCATTTTCAGCAAAATTCAAAGTAACAGAAGGAAATACGTCATCAACACTGAAAAAAAATCATTTACAATGCATTAGAAAGGTAATATGATACTAAATTTACTGTTAATCCAATTTTCACATCACTAAAGGAAGGCGAATTTGTCAATATAACGAGGATAAGATCTAGACCTGCTAGCTGTAGCAAAACACTGATTTCCTTTAACATCAACAGACTGCACTTGCGATGACTGCACTGAAGAAATTATCTGCCAAAAAACAAAATGTTAAAAGTCAGAGAAAAAATTGTCGCGTGGGATATTTTTATAACTAAAAGAAACAACTAACTCGAAAGGATTATTAATTTCAAGTTTGTGTCCAAACACAACTTTTAACAAGAAACTCATTGGTTAACTAATAATTTCGAAAAAGAGTAAGCATCATTTTCAAGAATCATGACAGTTGAACTAATATAAGGAAATGATTATCTGATTAGAAAAAATAAAATAAAATTTTATTACACAGTGAACTTACTGCAGTGACAAAAGTATCATATGCCTTTTCTGCTAGGTAAGCTAGCGTGGTCCCGGAATCAACAATCGTTCCTTGTGATGTTGATGTCGAAAACACTGAGGAATCAATATTTAGCTGTTGCCCATTGACATCAATGGTTTCTAGGTTCAAGTTGTAATGAGGTCTGAAAGGTATCAAGAGAAAGATTGTCAGCATCTAAAGAAATATAAATATATAAAATGCAACATTGAAATAATAAATATAAATCATTGATTCGTATAGTTCCATGAAACTAGAAAAAAAATAAATTTCAATTAATATTGCTTCCCAAAACGGACTTAATCTTCACTAATCTATAATCAGTATCTGCTAAACTTATTTAGCAAGGCAGCAATATCTTTTTTGTACAACAAAAGATTAAGAGAAATGAAAAAGAAATCTTCTTTTCTTGGTTTACTTTGGATCTTGACCACTTGACCAACATATCCCTATCACACATAATCTACACGATTTGTATATAATGCACGCATGCTCACTTTGCTCAAAATAAAACAATTTATCGAGGAATATATGCAAAATATATATAGTTTTGAATATGCATTCAAACATGTTGAACACTAGCATGACATATAATGGGAGGGAACTTACTGGGATTGAACTAGTGGAGTATACACAATACCGGGTTCTACTATTTGACCCAGGACCAATATGCCTCCACCTTCATCTGAACCTTTCAGGCAATGAGAGAACACTTTCGGCGAAACCCCTGCAGAGGAAAGCTGCGAAATTACAGATAGCTGTTGCTGTCCAAACCCAAATATTCCGTTGACTGCCCTATTTGATTTCGCTAGATCCCCAGATTCTGAGTTGCTACACCTGTTAAATCAAAACAAATTACATGTTACGTAATCATCTGTAGAGTAGTCTTCATATCTTTAATAGTTTCTAAAGGAAAAACACTACAAGTAAATAGATTTATCCTATTTCTTCTGAATATCGTTACTCTTTACCGCTTCCGACTGCATTTGTGAGATTGCAGGCAACCACAATGATAGAATATGATGTCCATATGAAATGTGGACATATCGACTGTTCTGAAACTAAGTTGAACACGCACAATTCCAAACCTAACAAACTGATTTGGTAGTTTCAAATCATTTACCCGCATGAGCACCTCTGGGTACTCAGAGCACATAAAAGACGTCAAACCTAAGAAACTGAGATGCATATTTCAAACTAATGCTCTGACTTATGTTGGTCACCATTGATTCCCTTACCCATAAAAAATAGGCCAGTGAAGTCAGCAAATAGGGAGAGGAACAAGGTCTCAATGAAAATTCATTCATCTCCAAGGTCTAGTTTATGTTCTTAGATAAATCATGACCATCTCAACAAAGCAATTAGAACAAGCAATTGAAAATTAAACCAAGGTAAGAATTCGTACCCGAAAATAATCTTAGCCGAAGAATTGGCAGCCTTGTCATTCTTATCGATCTTATCGAAATACAGCGTATCAGACACATAATACCCTGAAGTAGCACTACCATCTCCATACCGAAAAGAGTAAGAACACTGACTACTCGAAGAATTTGAAGAGTTGCATGTCGCCTCTCCTGTTTGAATTGCGTTAGAACACCTCTGATCGGAGCAACCAATCAGCGAAGCAGTCGACGAACTTTTTGGGTCGAAGAATTCCAGTTGAAGCTGCAGGAGAATAAACTTACATAAACTTCCTAAAATCAAACTTCATGAGGCTTCGAAGAGAAATGAGGTATTACATTGAGTCCGCTGCTTGTTGGGCATCCAGTGCAGCCGTTACAAGTTACCCATAAGGCGTCGCTACCCGTGTCGATCTGAACATAGAATTCTTTTGCAGGGGTTCCCAATTTTACACGAGTGTAGTAGAGCCTATTCCAAAAAAAAAAAAAAAAAAAAAACCCAAATTAGGATTGTTGAATATAATAATTTAGTCTTCAAAAATTTCCCAACACCCCAAAATTCATACAAAAATTCAGCAAGTAAATTGAGGAAATCCAAATTTGCTACCGATTTCAAGAAATACACTGTAATATTAAACATTTAATGGCACAATCATATATAAACGGGGTAAATATTTAATCTTTATATAAAAAAAGAAACCAAGAAAAAAAATCTCAAAATAATCGTAAAAAGATGCCGACACAAGAAATACTCGTTGTCTCCGAACTCAAACCAAAAGAGAAAGTTAAATTAATGTAAACCATGAAGTTCATAACAAGAAAAGAGACTGATTCTGACAATTAACCCCCAAAATAAGTTCAAAAATAATAATAATAATAATAAAAAGCAGAGCAAAACAAAGTTACCCGAGATCATACAAAAAGTCGAAATTCATACAAATTTTCAAAAAGAACTGGTTGTTTACTCTTGAAAAATCTCCCAAACCCCCGAATTCATACAGAATTCATAAAATAATCTGAGGGATCGAAATGGCACAATCGTACTGCAAATGTATAAAAATTCAACCTTTATTCGGGACAGAAACTAAGAAAAAAAACCTCAAAAATATTGAAGTACCAGAAAAAGAAATACCCATCGCCTTCAAAACTCAAACCAAACAAGAAAGTGAAATCTCAGTAACCCTTCAATTTCAAAACAAGAAAAAAAAGAGACTGATTTTGACCATTAACCCCCCCAAAAAAAGTTCAATTAAATAAAAAATAAATAAAAAAAAGACAGAGCGAAGCGAAATTACCCGACGGTGAACGGATTCCAGGACCCCGCAACGCGCCGTTAATAGCAGGAGGATGGTCACCGGAGTCGCGTTCATTTTCAAAAGTCTCGAAGATCGAAAGTAGAGAGAGGATCGCGGCAACGAGTCGGGGGTTTATATACAAGACAGACGTCATTACGCGTCTACGTGTCTAAGTGAGGAAACATAATTAAGGGTGAGAGTTAATTAGTTAGAATTTTTTTTATTTTATTTACATTTTGCTATATTTAATCGTTCAAATTTTATTGTCTTTGCGGCCATCTTTGGATTGAATACTAATTTAAAGTAACAAGCCTTTGTTCTTTTTTAAGTATAGTGAAAAAGGAGGGCAATAATTGTAAACTTAAAAATATTAGACGGGGAGGGGGTAATTAACATTTACTTATTCAAAGAGGGGTTTGAGTTGTGAAAAAGAGTTTTTTTTGACCCGCCACCTTCTTTTTCTTGTTTGGGTCGCTTGTTCGTTTGTATTCGAAGAGAAGCCAAAAGGCAATTGGCTACTTGCCCTGTTCCTTCTTCTCGCCCGCCAAATGTTCTTCCTTTTTAATTTTTAATCTTTAATCTACACGTGGAGGTTGGCTTTGGTTTGTTGGTTTATTCATGGAGTTTGAGGGGGGTTAACAATTGACGTGGTCAACTCCTTCTCGCCCGCCAAATGCCCTCATTCTATATTTTTAGACACGGTTAGAGGTTTGATACCCATAATCTAAAAGACCATTGGAAAATTCCCTTGAAAAATAAAAATAAATAAATAAATAAATAAATAAAACTCCTCAATACAATAAACATATTTATTCATTTTCTTCCAAAAGTTCTACATTTATAGTGCTATCAGGGACTTTTATCAAACTCTTCCATAGATCCTAGCCACCTGATCAAAATCACATCCATCAATTGTTCGGGTCAAAAGTTGCTTTTTTCATTGGTGACGAACTCATTACAATTTCAGCCATTACAATAAGTTCAAAAAAAGAAAGAAAGTCGATCTTTTTATAAGATCTCCTTACACAATGAAAATAAAAATTACAACTTTGTCAAACAACACACAACAGATGTTTATCGCCTGCTGTTTGCGCTGGAACTTTGCCTGTGCCAGGGATGTTGATATCCGTGGACCGTCGCGGATCAGATCCGGTTGACAGATTGGTAATCAAAGCTCCTACTTCATGAATGAAGTATTCGCAGAAGTAGTAATCCCGACCAAGCGAGATTACGACTCTTCTCGGGATTAAGACAAAGCTTAAATCCCGGAGGAATTGGGAGGGGGGTGGGGGGGAGGGAATGGGTCTCAGATCTCTCGAACTCTCTCTTTTTTTTATTGAGGAACTTCGCCAAGATCTGCTAATGAGCCCCTAGGCCTGAAATGAGCCCCTAGGCCTGTATTTATAGGCTTCAGTTAGAGGGTTTTCGGATAAGAATAATAGATTCAGCTTTATCTTCAGCTAATAACCATGTAACCATGTTTATGGATGATATCCAATCAGTTGGGACACCCAGGAACGGACAAATCCCGAGAAAACCCGTCAAAACCGAAAAAGAACGTTTTCGAATCGAAATTGGCCGAACCACTGTCTGGTGGCTCGGCCTTGGCCGGGCCACCAAATGGTGGCTCGGCCTTGGCTGAGCCACTGGTCTGACCGGGTCGCTTTGGCGTGACTCGGCCGCCAGGGGCTTTATCTGTTTTCCGGGTTTTGACTTGTTCCGTCGTTACGCGTATTTTGTCGTTTCGTTGACTTGTACGCTTTCTCGATTCACTTCATGAGCGTTTCCAGTGAATGCACATATCGTTTGACGATGGCCGATGGCATGCGGGCCATTTTGTTCGCCGTTCCGGTGGCCGACGAACGTACGGGCTACTTGGAACTGGCTGATATGTGCGCGGCTAATTGGAGGTAGCCGATGAGCGCACAGGACGCTTGTGTTGGCCATTCGGTGGCTGACGAACGTACGAGCCATTTGGAACTGGCTGATGAGTGCGCGGGCTAATTAGAGGTGGCCGATGAGCGCATGGGCCAGTCGCTTCGCCGATTTGGTGTCCAATGGCATTTTTAGACGCCTGCATCAATATCTCCTCAAGTAGCCCCCTTCGCAAATAGCGAGATCTACACAAAATCTTGCAAACAGCATGCAGTTCTACGTTCAGCCACATCAAGAGAATCAGTATTCCCCTTCTCAAATCATGAATCTCACGAGGTCTTGCACATAATCTCACATGAGATTCTCTCCATCCTCGCGTTAGCAACGCCCCAAACTCCACACTCTGTAATCACCGTCGTCGACAAACCCTACAAGTGCCGCATGTGTCCATCTACGGTTCCAGCCATCCCTCATCCTCCTCATCTAGCAAGCCTCCATCTTCCAGTGCAATACATCCTCATCGTTCTCCTCTGATTAGCGACATTATTGTCTGAGCTAAGCTAGCGGTCGCCAAACCTATCCAAAAACCTCTTAAATTGAAGGCCATGCTAAAAAAACAATGATCTACTCCCTGGTACCACCATCTCATGGTTGTTGAGGATGCAAATACGTGACTAAAGTCCCACATTGGATATGATAAGAAAGGGCGATGAGTTTAAAATAGAAGGTGAGATCAATACCTAGTAGCTGTAGACCATCAACTCTAGATTGGGTC